TGTTACCTGAGAAGAGCCCCTGCCTTTTAATACAACATGTTGGTGACTGCTTCCCTTTTGGTAGAGCTCTGGCATGATTCTGAATCTGTAGGATTGAGGTAGAAGCTAGATCTTCATCTGAAGGCAGATTTCATGGACATGGGTAGTTGTTACCCCAAAATACAAATACACAGGTTTTCCGGCGTTGGTTTCAAATATTAATTTAGAAAACTAGTCTGAGCTTTTAAAGTTGTGGTTAGTTCTGATTATTTTCCTTCAAAATATTCCTCTACTTTCATTTCAGAGATATGTTTTGCATATTGCTCTAGAACTGCACCGTCTGTTCCTCAAAGGGCAGATTGCTGGTAGGATTTGAAGGGGCTGGTCTGCTTTCACTCAGGAATGGCTTGCGGCAGAAGTGAGGCCATTAGTCTTCTATACGTGAGATAGACAGGGCTCTTTCTTTCAGACAAAAATTGCTTTTCTTTGTCTGCTTTCCATTTGCTCCGTTTCTTTTGTCAGCAGATCAGGAGGGCCAAAATCAGGAATTTCAAAAAGTTATAGCACTGGAAAATTTATTTAATCTTTGTTCTTTATCTGCAGTGGCATATGTCAATCTACTTAGGATATTATTTTATAAAACACCCAATAAGCTTCGATGCCCTTACCACACTTAATGTTAGCCACTACCTGGCTAGGGTTCATTTTGTGTATGACCGATTCCCTCAAGACTTGGACAGTGTGCACCTCTCCTGGGAGAACTTACCCCTCTGAGATGGGCAGCCTGTACAGAAGGGCTTCCATACGAACTTTTGTGTTTGAAGGTACCCAGACCAGGTTATACCGATGAGTGGATGATTGGACTGCAAATACTTGGCTGCTTCCCAGGAGAGAAATACATATTTTCTATCCTTTTTATGTTCTTCACAAACCCAGAGACATAAGATAAAAATAAAGCTGGTGTGGTTCCTAATACTGGGAACCTGTGACTGAGCCTAGCAGAGAACTTTCAGTATGAAGGATTTATCGCACCCCTGAAAATGCCATCTGCTGCAACTCAGCAGTCGGTTCTTGTTGGGACTTTCAGAAGGGTGCAGCCATCTATCTGTCTCCCCTCCTCCAGAGCCCTGTGTCTGGGCCCTTGGAGTTATGGCTCCTGATGGTCATTGTTACCAGTTTAGTTCTCAAAGTTGAGGGCTACTCTATTAATTTGCAAAGCAATGTGACACAAAGAAGATATGGTGAAGGAAAAACATTACAAAAATGGGATAAAAAGATAAAACAGCCCTTTATAATCTGAGCCAAGTGCATACCTCAGAACATGAATTCTTAAGTAACTATTAAATGAGCCATATTCCTTAGAGAAGATTCTGTCTCTTTCTACTGTTTTCTCATACAGTCAGAGTCCTTTGCTTTTAAAAAGATAGTCTTCTGTAGATGCCCACCAAAAACTGTAATATCTCTAGGGTTCCCTTTGAAGATCTGTTTTCAAATGTTTCTCACTATCATTTAACTCTGAAAGTCATCACCTTGCTGAGCAGGTCCCAGGTGCCCAGAGCCGAAGCTGTGCACCCAACTGTTCTTACAGGCAGTGCAGCCCAGAAACCTCACCTCGGTTGCAATTAATGTCTGCTTCCATTAAAATATTATTGCTCTATTGTTTGCATTTCTTTAACTGTTTTAGCATCCCTATCAGAACACCTGAAAATATATGTAAAGATCTTGGTTAAGAATATCGAGTAATGAAAAAAAAAAAATCGCAAATACTGAAGCAGACCTCTTGAAAATACTTACATACTACTAGTCTGGCTTTTCAGTGAGTTGTTGAAATTTCACAATATTTGCTTTACCCTAGTTATGATTTTAATTACTTATTTTTGCCATTCGTTGATTGAATTTTACTAAAAATTTACTTTGAAATGTTCATTCTTACATTGTTACAATTAATTATTTGGCAAGACCAAAAACTCTGCGAGAGAAGTTTTATCCTCTATTGTTTAAACAAGTTTGATGCATTCCCTGAAAGCACGTGTGCCCTTTAAAACACTGGGATTACAAAACCTATTTCAACTAATTGGAAAGAGGATGTAATTACAATTAAACTTATTTTTCCTGTAATCTCATCCAAAAACTGAACCGTCTTTAATTCCCTTCTTTGTTTCTCTACTGATGAGGGCAACATGGCAAATTCCCTTGCATAATTTTGACCACTGGGCTCCCTCTATCTCTCTCTCTGTGGCACAGCTGTGTTATCTTTCAGGGACCTACTTATTTAGAGCTTCAACCGCTGTCAGTGTCATTGCAAAGGGACGCTTGTGAATTGATTACTTTTATTCTTTTCCTTTTTTTTTTCCCCCCCCGCCTCTTTCATAATGACACATCCCTAGGGTGTATCTGCTCAAGAAATTAGTAAGTATAGGGCAGTATCTGCTTTTACAAGAATAGCTCTGAGGTGGAGAAGATTCCTTTGCAGTCAAGCATTGCACATTTTTACCACTGAAATGAAAATTTGCTTTAAGAAGCTCTTTGTGTTTTTTGCTATATGGACTGATGTGATAGTGATTATGTCCACGTGTTACTTTTTCAAGCAGACACGTGCTTGCTTTGTCTGGACCCTAAGCTGACCTAAAACTCTGCAAAACGAATTAGTGCTGTCCTAAGCTAATAAACCCCAATTTACAGGCACATATATTCCTGTGGCTTGAAGTCAAGCTGAGTGTGAGAACAGAGCAACCTCCCAGTTGCCTGCCAACCTTTTGTAGACACACCCCGACTCTGGTTTTGTGCCCGGGTTGGT